CCTATCTTCATTTGCCTGGTATTCCCTGGTAACTTGGTAGACCACGAGCTGTGAGTCACTATAAATCTTGATGGACTCTGCCCCCATTTCCCTAACGAGACGGATACCTGTGAGTAGTGCCTCATACTCAGCTTTGTTATTGGAGGCATTGAACCCGAACCTTACTGTAGCTCTGATTGGGTCTCCCTCTGGATTTTCAAGCAAGAGGCCCGCTCCTACTTTCTTTTCATTTGAGGAGCTATTTATGTACGGAGTCCATAGCTATAAGTCATCACTATTTGGTTTCTGTTGCTCGACCTCTCCCGAGGTATCTACCTCTGGCGGGCTTGATTTGGCCTCTGGCTGATAGGAGAACTCAAATATAAAATCTGCCACGGCCTGGCCTTTGATCAATGTTCTTAGAATATACTTGATGTCATGCTGACTCATCTCCATTGTCCACTGGATCAGTCTACCCGATGCCTCGGGCTTCTGTATTATCTTCTTCAAAGGGAAGTTCGTCATCACATGGATGGAGTGTGCTTGAAAATAGGGTCACAGCTTCTTGGCAGCAACAACAAGGGCTTAGGCGAGCTTCTCCATCTCAAGATACCTTGTCTCTACGTCGAGCATTCTCTTGCTCACATAATACATTGGCCATTGTATTCCTTCCTCTTCATGTACCAATGCCGCGCTGACAGCGGACTCCGATACCGATAAGTATAGTAGTAGCGGCTCGCCTTGGATGAGCTTTGACAATAGGGGAGGCTGTCCGAGGTGTTTCTTCAGCTCCTGGAAGGCTCTTTAACACTCCTATATCCACTTGAAACATTTCTTTCCCTTCAAGGTCTCAAAGAATGGTAAACATATGTTCGTGGCTCGGGAAACGAACCTGTTGAGCGCGGCCACACGTCCAGTCAGACACTATACCTATTTTATGCCAATCGGGCTTTCCATGTCGAGCAGAGCCTGAATCTTCTCTGGGTTAGCTTCTATACCCGTTGGTTCACAAGGAAGCCTAGGAATTTCCTGGAGCTCACCCTGAAAGCACATTTCAATGGATTAAGCTTCATTTGACACTTTCTGAGGATGTCGAACATATCTCTCAAGTGTTCAATATAGCTTTCGGAGACCTTTGATTTGACAAGCATGTCGTCGATGTATACTTCCATGGAATGACCGATTTGGTTGGTGAACATCTTGTTCACCAAGCGTTGGTAGGTCACACTTGCGTTCTTGAGGCCAAACAGCATAACCATGTAACAATAAATTCCACGGTCAGTAATAAATGAAGTATGCTCTTCATTGGGTTGGTACATCGGGATCTAGTTATATCTCGAGTACGCGTCTATAATGCTAAGTGGGCATTTCTTGCTGTCGCATCTACTAGTTGGTCGATCCATGGTAGCGGAAAGCTGTCTTTCGGACATGCTTTGTTCAAATCCGTGAAGTCGACGTAAGTTCGCTACTTGCCATTCGGCTTCTTGACTAGGAATGGGTTGGCAAGCCAGTCCGGGTATGTGACTTCCCTGATGAAGTTGATTTCCAGGAGTTTGTCAACTTTCATCCTTGAGCACTTGAGAGCGCTCTGCATCCATGGACCTTCTTTTCTATCTTATGGGTTGAGCCTGTGGGTCAAGGTTCAACCTATGACACATCACCTCGGGGCTGATCCCAACCATATCCGCGTGCACTCATGCAAATACGTCGAGTTTCTTCTTTAAGAACCCAACTAGATTATCGACCATCTCTCTAGTCAAGCTACTGTCGATCTTTAGCACGCGAGTTGGATCATCCTTGCTAACACTTATTTCTAACAGCTCTTCGGTTGGTCCCGTCGCGGGCTCTTCTTTGTGGTTGCGAGGATCTATAGTGTCCTCTAGCGGTTCAGGGTTCGGCTTGGATTCTACGATGATCATTGTCTTTGGGTGTGGCCATTTATATGCGGCGTTTATAGCCCGATTATAACATTCTCGAGATTCTTTGATGTGGCTTCTGATCGTCGCGACTCTTTGGGAAGTTGGAAATCTCATTGCTTGGCAACGCACCGATGTGATCGCGCTTAAATCATCCAAGATTGGACTTCCAAGGATGACGTTATACATGGTCGGGCAGTCCACCACCAGGAATTTGGCCATCACAGTTCTGGTTCCTTTCTATGAATTTCATTCCTCGGAAGGCTCCTAAGAAAATGATTTTTGTCGTGCTCCCATTGTCGACCATAACCCTTAATACCCTTGCATTGTCAATCCTGGCCACGATTATAATCGCGTCATGATTATGATGAGGGAATGTTTTGCACTCATCAACTGTGAACCCCACTATCTGGCTTTCCTGTTTGGGCCACTTGGGCGGCTCCTGTTCGCAATTCATTATTCGGGAACTGAGTCCTTTCTGGCCTCCTGAGCTCATCTCAAGCTTCCCGCTATATTCTATCCTCCGTAGATTATATTCACGAAGACCTCGTTGGGGTTTGGTAAAGCCTGTTGAGCTAGGGTCTATACCTGACTCGAGACCTGATAACTTTGCTTGTCAGGATTCTCTCAAGCTGGTTCTGCCTTAACAAATTCTTTCAAATGACCTCTTCTTATCAGGTCCTCGATGGCATCCTTCAAGCTCAACAGTCATTCGTGTTGTGCCCGACATCCTTGTGATATAGACAATATTTTTGCCGATCTCTTTTGCCTGGTGCCCTCCTCATCCTTTCTAGAGCAGGCAACCTCTTTGCCTCTCGAGACACTTCATAGATGTGGGCGATGTCTTGAGTGAGAGGGGTGTACTTTGCATACTGCGGAAAAGGTTACCTATCTCCGCGGTTATCTAGTCTTTGTTTCTTTTGAAATCTATTACAATCCATGTCGCTGTGGTTTTGGCCCCCATGCTTATCCGAAGGGTGATCCTGTCTTCTGTTCGAGGCCCCCTACATCGAGCTTCTGGCTAGTGCCGCTAACGAGCTCTCTACTCACTGGTTTCAAGGCCATCTGGTCGAATTTGGCCAAGCTCACATGATCTTCACTCAAGAGTTCTTTCGCCAGCTCCGTGTTAGGTCTGATCACTGCAATCAGTAAAGTCCTGATGGATACTTCGGGGTAACAACGACCTTTGTCTACTCGTTCTGGAACCTTGTTAAATACGAGGTCAGTGATTCATCACACTTTTGCGGATATTGCTTAAGTAGCTGAGCGGCATTGCCAATTGTCTCCTCGCCTAAAATTGCTGTAAGTACAATATAGAGAATTGTTGCTAAGAGTTGATGGAGTTCGCCTTAAGCCGTTTGTACCACCTCTTGGCATCTCCAACTAATGTGACTGCGAAACACCGACATTTTGCTAAGTCACTGACCTGGTATAGCTCCATCAGGTCATTAAAGTTATCGAGGTGATCCCTAGGGTCCCCTCTTTCGTCGAACTTTCTCTCTAGTGCCTTGAACCTTCATGTGAGCGGGACTTGGCGAACTTCCTCCGTAAAGGGGGAACTTACTACCTCCTCCACCAGATTGTTCTGCCGAGCTTTTAGATTGTCGAGCATCCTTTGCATGCGATCTAAGTCTTCATTTTGGTTGCCCTGGTTGGGTATGTTAAGCTATACCTCCAGCAAATGAGTTTGCAAGTTTGTTGCTTGCGAAGCTCCTCCGGCACGCGCATTGATGCGTGAGGTCGAGTCATGATGGCTGGGTTGGTAGGTGTTATCATGCTCGTCAGTGCGTTGTTCACGACTTCAGTCATAACCGGAACATCTGTCATTGCCAGATTGACGCAAATGGCTCACGAAGATCTTGTCTTGGGCGTGGGTTAAAACTGGCACGCTGACGTTAGGGATACCACCGAGATTCTTGGTTATGTTTGTCACCTTCGTTTTCCTTCAGCGGCTGCTTCCTTGGTCGCCTCCTAGGGTTTGTTTGTCCACGGGACTCATGCTAGTGCATGAAGTGCTGCCTGCGAGGTTGGAGGCGTTGATTGCCCCTCGGCGGCGACGAAGAGAACTGTCGACCTGCAAAATTCATACCTGTTGGGGTGGTGTTGGCGAAGCGCGGTTGGTCAAGGTTCTGGACAATAGGTTGTTGGTTCCTCAGCTCAGCCACATTCTGTTACACCGCTTGCGTAACCATTGTTCTAATCATCTCCATCAGCTGGTTGTTCTCGAGATTTGACGTCCCTGCCCCCTGGTTGTTTGCAGTGTGCTGGGCTGGCGGCATAGGTGGTCGGCATCCAGTGTTCTCCTGTTTCACCTCCTGATGGGTGATTTCCACGTTCTCGTGATTTCCAATGTTAGTTTTCAATCTGGTGAACACCATTTTGGTCCTAGGATAGGTAAATTGCGGTGAACGTTCGTCGGAATTTTTGAAATATTGGTCAGGCCCTACTTCTAGCGCCAAAATGTTGATACAGAATTCTACACCAATTAGCGTGATCAATCGACCTTGCCGGGATCGAAACCAATGTGTGCGTGATTAGTGAAAATCAGCAATGAATATGAATGAAATGAATTAAAAGCGAAGAGATTTTTAAAGTGGTTCGGCAAGGTTAACAGCCTACGTCCATTGTGTTTTTTTATTTACTGTGAGAGCTTACAATGCAATTCTTATCTGAAATTCGTAACCCCTTCCTCATTGTTTGAGGGGGTTTTTATACAAGATTTGTGTAAAGAGAATAGTAAAACTAAAGGGATTACAATGGATCTGAATTACAATTCTGATATGCTCACGATTGGGTGCTATGATTGTGTAGTAATCGGTGTTGATCGAGTCTCATCTCTTGCGCTAGCTAATGGGTTTGGCCTCGATTTACTTCATAAAGCTCTTGTCGTTTCCTTCCGTTACCGGTTAAAGAAAAATCCTAAATTCCTTTCACTTTGGGCCTAGTAGGGGGTTAGCCGAAATTGTTCACTTTGATCTACACCCGCAATGTTTGTTTACACTTCATGAAAGTGTAAAAACAAATAATAGGTTATTACCCTTAGTTTTTGGATTGTCAAATAATAACTGGAATTATAAATCACAAAATTAATGATAACTCCCCAACTAATAACAAATAAATAAAAATCCATAATAGGTTAATCCAAAATATAGAACAAATTAAACTGATCTTCAAAGTTAATCAACCATATAAAGAAGCAGAGAGGCGTGGAGTAATGAGGACTTGAAGTGGAGCTGCTTTCTCCAGAGTCAATGCTAAGCCTTCGCCCATGTCAACGGCTTCATCCAATGGGGTTGCAAAATCAAAGCTATGCAACAAAGCAGCAAGTGAAAGTTGCATAACTTGTTGGGCAAATGACACTCCAGGGCACATTCTTCTGCCACTACCGAATGGTAGAAGTTCAAAATTCTGGCCTCTAACATCAACCTCCTTGTGGGTCGTAAGAAATCTTTCTGGCTGAAACTTGCAGGGGTCCTTCCAAACATGAGGATCACGATGAATCTTCCAGAGATTTAAAAAAAGACACGTGCCTGCTGGGACATGGTAGTCTTGAACTTTGCAGTCTTCCATAGACTCGTGTGGAATGGCGAGTGGTGCAGCAGGGTATAAACGCATTGTTTCCTTGAGGATGGCTTGGAGGTAAATCAGGTTTTTCATGTCTGACTCGTTTACTTGCCTTCCCGTACCAATCTGGACATCTAATTCATTTTGCGCCTTCTTCAGGACATGGCGATTGTTAAGAAGTAAAGAGAGAGCCCAAGTCAATGTAACTGCTGTGGTGTCCGAGGCTGCTAATATGAGAGCCTACAAAATGATACAGAGCATATATTTTTAAAGTTTGTTGTTTATAGATCAATGGAATAGTAAAATTAAGCATTGAGGTGTTGTTTTATTTAATGAAGTTTTATAACTGAGATAAATTACTATTTCTCTGCAAAGACAACTTTTATTGATGTGTTACTAGAGGCATACCAGGCATGTAGCTTTAATGACGGTATCAACATCACGATCAGGAAACTCATTTGGATCATCCAAAAGGGACAACATCACGTCCATGAAGTCTTCCTCTTCCTTCATCTCACTGGAAACTCTCTTGCTCTTGTGCTCTTCCAACCATCCTTGAACAACAATGTCTAAGTTTTTTGCCGATTTCTTCATTAATCTTTCGATTCCCCCTATGTCCAACCACCTCAGAAATGGTAGAGCATCTGACACCGCGAACTTACCACTCAATTCAGAAAAGTTCGTTAATTCCTCTTTCCATTGGTCATTAATCTCATCACCCTCTTGCAAACTAAATCTCTTTCCTACAATTATCCTTAAAATCACCTTAAGGGTTACGTCCCCAAACCATCTTTTCATGTCCACCAAAACCCTATCCGAGCTACCACTTTTCTGAACCCATAGCTCATATAACTCTTTTAACGAAGCTTTCACCTCAGATTGTCGTACATGTTTTAGCCTCTCAAGCCGATGGTTGGAGAGAAGCTCAAGTGTTGCTATCTTGCGTACTTGACGCCAGTAGGAGCCATATGGGCTAAAGCCTATCATGGAAAAATTGTAGCCAAGAAGCTCCAAAGCGATTGTTCTTGGACGATTAGCAAAGACTTTGTCATTGGTAGTGAGACAGTCTTTAGCAATCTCCCAACTACTTACCACTAAAATTTGATAAACGCCCATCTTAATACTGAAGGTTGGGCCGTACTTGTCAGCCATTTTTCCTAACACCCTGAAAATCGGTTTTGGGCCTCCTAAGAGGTGTAGATGACCAATAACAGGCCACGCTCCACCCGCTTCCGGCGCTGCTCTCTTCTTGCTTCTGTTCCTTTGTACGATTAATCTTGATATCAATAAGAAAGTGTAGAGGAAGACCGCAAAAATTGCAGCGACCGCAATGGGTTTTGGTAAAAATTCCATTGATGCTGGGTGTACCTTCGCTGCAAATTACTTCCTTTATGAGGACAAGTACTTACATATTGATGTACAGATACTTTCCGAGGTGTAATAATTAACTTGCTGTTTGTGCCTTGTGGATCAGTAATAGTTGATGATCTATTCAACAAAATGGAACGTTTGAGTCTAAGAGCACTCGATATATTAGCCAATGAAATTATTAAGTCCAACAAAGATTATTACATTCTTGTCAATTTTGGCTGCCATCCTTATCTTCTAAATCGTTCATTCTGGTTGGGTATTTCCTTTTTTGTTTTTTGTTAAATTTTTCAAACGGGGTTTAAAGAATATCTGATTTGTTGATATTTTAGTGAAGTGGATGGGGACGGGCCGACAGGGATAGGCTATATGGACCCTAATGCGGTGCGTCTTCTTATTCTCCGTGCCGTGCGTTTTTAGCGAATGAAAAAGAAACCCTTCATCAAATTTTTGTGCATTTGAAAGAGCTGCTTCTGCTATTTGTTTTGTTAGTTTAAAAATACTAAGCAATCAATTTTTAAAATGTTGGAATACCAATCTGTTAATCAATTTAAAATATTGATGGATTTACTGGAAATTGATTAATTTTTAAAAGAGACATGGGTGGATTGAGTTTTATGTCAAGACTTGAATTCCTTTGAAACAAACAAATAGACGGTCAGACAAAAATTGGTGACCGGAAAGCATCTAAACTTACGTGGAACGGCAAATGACAAGAGAGGACGGGTTGAATTCCTGGAATATATTAGTATTTAATATTTGAATTAAGTGCTTACATGTCATTATCTCTAGTTAATTCAACCCATGTGCCCAGAGAAATCCCTCAATTTGCTTGTAGTATTAAGTTTTATAGTTTGGTTTCCTCTGCGGCCCAAATTAACCCATATCCACTATAATCTTTATGGTGAGTGTCATATGCATGATCGTTGAAAGAAACACATCATTGATCAATAAAAAATATAAAAGAGTATACATCAATTATCACTGAATTAAATCAATTTAAGCATATAAAGAAGGAGAAAGTCGTGGAGTGAGAAGAATTTCAAGTGGAGCGATTTTAACAAGAGTCATTCCTATCCCTTCTTTCATGTCAACAGGTTCATCAAACGGGGTTAAAAATTCAAAATCATGCAGCAAAGAAGCAAGTGTAAGTTGCATAACTTGAAGGCCAAACGACACTCCAGGGCACATTCTTCTGCCGCTACTAAACGGCATGTATTCAAAATTCTGGCCCCTCACATCAAAATCCTTATGGGTCGTAAGAAATCTTTCTGGCTGAAACTTACAAGGGTCCAACCAAACATGAGGATCACGATGAATCTTCCAAAGATTAATAAAGAGCCGTGTGCCTGCCGGTACATGGTAATCAAGAACAGTGCAATCTTCCGTAGATTCATGTGGAAGTGCGAGGGGACCAGCAGGGTATAGACGCATGGTTTCCTTCAGGATGGCCTGGAGATAAGTTAAATTTTTTAGGTCTGACTCCCTCACTTGCCTTTCTTTTCCAATCTGAATGTCTAATTCATTCTGGGCTTTCTTTAGGACATCGGGGTTGTTGAGAAGTAAAGAGAGAGCCCACGTCAATGTAACTGTTGAAGTGTCTGCGGCCGCCAATATGAGAGCCTGCAAAGTTGGTAGAGAGGGGAAAATTGGCAGATAATGTTATAACTTATATAATTCTCTATTTAACTCTCTCTCTCCTATGTGCCATCATTTGTTCTTCTCAGCCTTAATTAATTTTATGTTCTGTACGTTGCCAATTTTTGAACTTTTTCAAAGGTACAAGCCTTGTCATTTCTCAAAAGAAAGTTTGACGTATAATATATATATATTTGGCATTAAAACCAAGATATGACACGTATGATAATACATTAATACTACTAAAGTCTGATGTGATTAATAGCACATCCAGAAATAGCAGAAGAAACTAAAATTAATTAATAGAGGCGTACCAGACATGTAGCTTTGTTGACAGTATCAGCATCACGACCTGGAAACAACTCTGGATCATCCAGAATGGACATCATCACATCCATGAAGTCTTCTTGATCTCCCTTCACTTTTCTCTTGTGCTCTTCCAGCCATTCTTGAATAACAATGTCTAATTCTTTTGCCGTCTTCTTCATTGACTTCTTGTCTCCTCCTATATCCAACCACTTCAGATATGGTAACGCATCTGACACCACAAACTTACCACTTAAGGCGAAAAAGTTGGTTAATTCCTCTTTCCATCTATTACTCTCTTTACCCTCTCGCAAACTGCATCGCTCTCCAACCAATATTCTCAAAATCACGTTAAGGGTTACGTCTCCGAACCATCTTTTCATATCCACCAACACCTTATTCCCACTATCATATTTCTTCTCAACCCATACCTCATATAACTCTTTTAAAGAAGTTTTCACCTCGGATTCTCGTACATTTCTAAGTTTCTCAAGCCGGTGGGTTGAGAGAAGCTCAAGTGTCGCAATCTTGCGAATCTGGCGCCAATAGGGGCCATATGGGCTGAAACCAAACATGGAAAAATTGTAAGTTAACAGCTCGGAGGCCATTGTTTTTGGACGATTGGCAAAGACTTTATCATGGGTAGTGAGACATTCTTTAGCAGTCTCCCAATTGCTCACCACTAAAGCTCGATACACGCCCATCTTGATAGTGAAGATTGGTCCATACTTATCAGCCATGTCGGCTAACACTCTGTGAGGCGGTTGTGGACCTCCTAAGAGATGTAGATGGCCAAGCATAGGCCACGCTCCACCAGCCTCTGGTGCTCCTTTCTTCTTGCTTCCTTTTCTTATCAAATTTCTTGATATCCATAACAAACAGTAGAGAACGATTGAAAAGCCCAAAATTGCGGTGGTAGAAGTTGTTTGGAATGAAAGACAAAAGTCCATTACTGCTAGGACTCGCTGGGAAGCAGTGAAAGAAGAGTTCTGCTTAGCACAGGGCCTATAAATAGTAACATCTTGACATTATTTTAAGACGCTTAGCGCATGCCGTTCTAAGCAGAAGAACTCCATATATATTAGCCAATGAAATTAAGTCCAACAAAGATTATTACATTCTTGTCAAGTTTGGCTGCCTTCCCTGTTGGGTTATAAGTTTTATTAGGTGAGAAGTGAGATCCATCTTAAATTCTATTATCGTATTAGAATGTAGGTTCAGTAGAGCTAAATATTTTATCTTAAATTCTATTATCGTATTAGAATATAGGTTTAGTAGAGCTAAATATTTCATCTTAAATTCTATTATCGTATTAGAATTTAGGTTCAGTAGAGCTAAATATTTTATCAATGGATAAAGAGTTAGAGTTAACAATTATCTTTATTAATAGATATGATTTAATATATGGGTTTAACCGTGAAGAAAAAATACTAAAGTCTTACACACCGATTAAATACACTTAAATCTACTGAGTTATAAGTGAGAATAATTCTTTCATTCAATAAAATCTTATTAGATAAGGAGTCAGACTCATCTCAAATTTTATCATTTATCTTTTAAATCTTTCATCCTGATTGATTATATCCTTATTTGTTAAATTTTTCAAATATAATTTTAAGAATATAATAATATTATACTTATAAAAAAAATTTATAATGATTTTTATACAAAAATGAAGTGATAAAAAATAAATAAAATAATAAAATTAAAAATTAAAAATTAAACTTGTTAAATTTACCGTTACATTTATTTTTTATCATCCTACTTTGTATCAATACCTATGTAAAATTCGTTTTAAGAATATCTTATTTATTGATATTTTAGTGAAGGGGATGGGTACGGGCCGACGGGGATGGGCTATATCGATCCTAATGCGGTGTGTCTTCTTATTTTCCGTGCCGTGCGTCTTTTAGCGAATGAAAGAGAAACCCTTATCTCATTTTTGTGCATTTGAAAGAGCTGCTTCTGCGATTTGTTTTGTTTTTAAAATAATCTGTTAATCAATTTAAAATATTGATGGATTTACTGGAAATTGATTAATTTTTAAAAGAGACATGGGTGATTGAGTTTTATGTCAAGACTTGAATTCCTAATATAACTTCAAACAAACAAAATAGACGGTCAGACAAAAATTGGTGACCGGAAAGCATATAAACCAAGCACAGGCCACGCTCCACCAGCCTCTGGTGCTCCTTTCTTCGTGCTTCCTTTTCTTATGAAATTTCTTGATATCCATAACAAACAGTAGAGAACGATTGAAAAGCCCAAAATTGTGGTGGTAGAAGTTGTTTGGAATGAAAGAAAAAAGTCCCTAGGACTCGCTGGGAAGCAGCGAAAGAGTTCTGCTTAGACGCTTAGCGCATGTTGTAAGTTTTGTCTTTTTTCTTCACTTTTTTTTTTTTTTTTTTTTTTTTAATCGGAGTGCCAGATGCATCTCGACTAATCCCCACTTTCATTAATGCGTGCCAATCTTGTCAGAGTGATGAAATTGGAACAGATAATAGGGATACAAGTCTCAAAAATGCAACATGCTTTAGGGCCACGTTATGAATCTTTCATATCGATTCTTTTTGGTGTAAATCTAATTTAAATAATAGTTTGATTTGAAATGTTAAATAATATATAACAACTTTTATTGAAAATGTAATAATTTTTGTTATTGTTCTACACTCTCCAGTAATTTTTTGAGATCAATTTAATATTATTATGGTTCAACTAATCATCCAGTGACCACACTGAACTCGTTACTAAAACAAGTGGCCATAGACTTGTGGTTGCCATTCAACCCATCAAATTGATGCTACAGGATAGAATTTTGGGCATTTATGAATCTAGATCCAATATATAATTAACTGATCCATCTCTGGATTGAAGATCACCATCTCTGCAATTTTTTTTGTGGACGGTGGGTTTTATATCTGTTTCATATGAAGCATATTATTATGGTATAGCAGTCTAGGCCGTAAGATCTGGTGCGTCTGCTGTGGCTTGTTTGGACCATGTTGGCTTTCTGTAAATTAAGTCAACAGTGATGGTTTCTTCGATAAACAAATAGACGATGTCAAACAAGATGGAATTCTTGTATATTTTATCGTTGAAGGACCCGTTACTTCATCTTCCTAATATTTATTAAGATCTGGACACGGTTTCATAATTACCCTGATAAAGAGTCAACCTTAGCGGTCTTGCCTCTCAAAAAATGG